CAGAAACAAACAGGAACAACAGTACTAATCTCTGATAAACTTTAAGGCAAAAACCAGCATAATAAATAAAGATTGACAGCATCTCATGATTAAAGAGACAATTGACCAATATGACATAATAATAATAAACATCTGTGCTCCCAATGAAAGAGCTCCAAAATATATAAAGCAAACTGTAATAGATCTGAAGAGGAAATTGATGAGTCTACAATAATCATGGGTGATTTTAATACATCACATTCAAAAATGGATAGCACAACCAGAATGAATCTTGACAAAGACACAGAAGAACTAAACAACACAATCAGCCAACTGGACCTCATAGATGTGTACAGAGCATTCAACCCAACAGCAGCACAATACACATTCTTTTCCAGTACCCATGAAACATTCTTCAGAAGAGACCATGTGTTAGGCCACAAAACAAACCTCCATAAATTTACAAATATCAAAATACTACAAAGCATCTTCTCAGACCGCAATGCTATCAAATTAGAAATTAGCAATAGGAATGCCAAGGAAATAAAGTCAAATACATGGAAACTGACTAACACCCTGATGAAAAGCGACTGGGTAGTAGAAGAAATCAATAGAAAGAATCAAAGGTCAAGAAGAAGGTTCTTTGAAAGGATTAACAAAATTGACAGACTATTGGCAAACCTAACAAAATAAAAGAGGAAGAAGACACAAATAACACACATTAGAAACCACATGGGCCAATGTCAAAACAGAACCAAAGGAAATCAAAAGGATAATAACAGAATACTATGGAAAGTTGTACTCCAACAAATTTGAAAACTTAGAAGACATGTATACATTTTTAGAAAAACACGACCTACCTAAACTCACACAGTGAAGTAGAAAACCTGAACAGATCCATAACAAAAGAAGAAATTGATCAGGTCATCAAAGAAAACTCCCAATGAAAAGAAGTCCAGACCCAGATGGCTGCACTGGTGAGTTCTACCAAACATTCAGGGAAGAGCTGTCTCCAATTCTACTCAAATTATTCCAGAATATAGCGGAGGATGGAAAACTTCCTGATAACATTTTAAGAAACAAGCATAGCCCTCATACCAAAACCAGTGAAGGACATCACTAAGAAAAAAAATCCCTCATGAATATAGATGCAATATCCCTCATGAACATAGATGCAAAAATTTTCAACAAAATCCTAGCCAACAGAATCCAGCAGCACATCAAAAAGATAATACATCATGATCAAATGGGATTCATATAAGGGATGCAAAGATGGTTCAACATTTGAAAAATGATCAATGTAATCCACCATATAAATAAGAAAAAGAACCACATGATCCTATCGATTGATGCAGAAAAGGCATTTGACAAAATCCAACATCCATTCCTGATAAAAACACTCAACAAAATAGAATTAAAGGGAAATTCCTAAACATAATTAAGAGCATATATACAAAACCAACAGCCTACATTACTCTCAATGGAGAGAAACTGAAAGCCATCCCTCTGTGAACAGGAACCAGACAAGGATGCTCATTGTTACCACTCCTATTCAATATAGTGCTGGAAGTCTTCGCAAGAGCTATTCGGCAAGATAGGGAAATTAAAAGCATCCAAGTTGGCAAAGATACTTAGAAAATCCCAAAGACTCAGTAAAAAAGCTACTAGACCTCATTGGAAGATTTCACCAATGTGGCTGGATATAAGATCAATATACAAAAATCAGTTGAATGCATCTATACCAAAAATGACAGCGCTGAAAAGGACATTAGGAAAGCAATACCATTTACAATAGTCAGCCAAAGGATGAAATAATCTAGGAATAAATGGAACTAGAGAAAAAAAAGACCTATACAAAGAAAACTACAAACAACTCTGTTGTTGCTGATAGAGCTCCTCACTGCACTTTCACTCTCTCTGCCATCTTGTTTGTTCTCCTGTGCTGCTCTTGATTATTAGTGAAGTTGAATATTTTTCTAAGTGTTTATTAGCCATTTGTTTCTTCCCTTCTGTAAATTATGTGTTTCCATTTATCTGTTAGAATCTTATCTTATTTCTGTTGGTTTACATGAGCCAATAAATGTCATCAAAATGAATCTACACAAATAAAGACTGTGATTTACTTTATCTTCTAAAGCAAAGATGAAGACAAATTTGGGAGCAACTTATTTTGCTGAATTGAAATGAGCTTTTACTTATTTACTCATTTTTACTTTTAAATGAACTAATGTTTCAATTTTTGGTCCCATCAATATGCATCTTTTCATAGCTTGATTTTTTTTTTTTTAATGCCACTTTCATTATTCATTATTGAGAGGCCACATACAGGGAAACTGTGATTTGGAACTCGACAGAACTGTCTTGTTCTTACTGGTCTCACAAGTTTTCTACATTTAGTAGGGTGCAGCCTTATCACTTTTCTCTTTTTTATCACTCATTTTAGTGAAAGATGTTTTAGTTTTCCTTCTCTGACAGGTATCTGCCTTACACCATATCCTGCTTTCACAGGTTTTACTATAGGTATACTGCTGGCAAAAATTTAAACAAAATACTTTGACAATATATATTAAGAGCCTAGGAAATAACTGCAATTTAATTTTCTACTAAGGCACTAACCTAATGAAATAATCACAATAATAACAGACATTTGTTTAGTACTTATATGCCCAAAACTGCCTTAAGTACTTTTAGATATAACTTTCTATGTAAGGAGAAGGATACAGACATTTAAGGGGTTTTTAAAAGTTCATGGAAAAATGGAATTTAAAGATAATGGAGCTGAGCACTGCTCTTGTTGCAACACCCGAGCTCCAGGCTCCTGTTAAGCTAGCGCCACTGTCATCCCCCCAGCCGCCATCATGATCATCTACCAAGACCTCATCAGCCATGATGAGACGTTCTCCAACATTTACAAGATCCAGAGATCACAGACGGCCTGGAAGTGGAGGGTAAGATGGTCAGCAGGACAGAGGTTAGCATTGATGACTCGCTCATCAGTGGAAAGGCTTCAACTGAAGGCACTGATGGTAAAAGCACCAAAAGCACAGTAGTCACAAGTATTGACATTGTCATGAACCATCACCTACAGGAAACCAGCTCACAAAAGAAGCCTACAAGAAGTACATCAAAGATGAGACCTTGATTTATTTGGAACAGAGACTTTTTTTTTAAAGGGGAAAAAAAAGTGTAGGTTATCTAAAAGTAAAAATGCATTTTTTTAATTGATTTTTTTCCACAAACATTTGAAGCCCCTTCACCTATATGAGGATAGTCAAAAAGTATTGCTATTAGGGTTCCAGTTCATACATACACAGGTTTGTTCCAAATAAAATGTTTAAATATGTCTCTCTGATCAATGGATGTCTGTACATAAGTTCTCTAAGTAATGTCTTAGTCTCATTAGAGTGTCATGAAAATGATTTTGAGGTCAGGGCTAATAAATTTTAAGAAAACTCAAATTTACATCTTACCAAATCATTGAAGCTTTGCAACAAGTCATGGGGATGCTGCCCCATATAAAACAAATTTTCTATATTTTTTCTACACTGAGTATGTTAATATTCAGAACAAAATATCATATAGGTACTTGACTACTAATCAAGAGTTTGGTGATTCAAACCCATCCAGAGAGGCCTTGGGGGAAAAAAGCTTGGTAATCTGTTTCTGAAAGATCACAGCCATGAAAGCCCTATGGAGTGCAATTCTATTCTGTACATGCATACATGGGGTTGCAATGAGTCAGAATCAGCAACTGGTTTCTATATGTTTATGAAAAATAAAAGTTTGTAATGTCAACCAATAAGTGTGACTTTATTAAAGCTTCCATTATTGTTGTTAAATGCCATCAAGTAGGTTTGGACTCAGCGACCCTGTATAGGGTTTCCATGGAGTGGTTTGAACCACTGACCTTGTGGTTAGTAGTTTGGTGCATTCCTAATTCCTCAAATTCCTTAAATTAAATTCCTTAAATTTCTTTAATTCTTTAAAGGAGCTTAAGTGACACAGTGGTTAAGTGCTAGGCTGCTAATAGAAATGTTGGAGGTTCAAACCTGCCAGCTACTCTTTGAGGGAAACATTTGATAGTCTTCTTCCCTAAAGATTTACAGCCTTGGAAACCCTGTGCAGTAATTCTGCTTTGCCCTTTAAGGTCACTGAGTCAGAATTCACTTAATGGCAATGAGTTCGGGTTTTTCTGTTTTAATTCTCCGTATCCAGTTTTGGAGTCTTGGTTCAATGCTGTAGAATAAGCACTGGATGGCTAAACCCAAGGCTGGCAGTTCAGATCCACCAACCACTACTTAGAAACCCTATTCAGGGTTGCTATGAGTCAGAACGGACTCAATGGCACATAACAACAAACAAGTCTTCCTTAGTCCATGGGCTCAAACATCATCTTCAAGTCATGGAATCATTAATTAAGCATTAAAGGGTCACCATCTGGAGTTAAGATTGTTAATGGCTGTGCTGAAAAAGAGCATCTGAGATTAGTAGAGAGAATTAAGAATTTAAGGCTAGAAATCACATTTTTCTTCATTATTCAGATGCGGAATCTATGTTGAAAAAGTTCATCATACAAGGCAGTGTAGTTATCCTTGCATGAATAAGGTACTTTACAGGTGACGCTGTCATAATAATGTTATCAGATATCAATAATAAAACTATTTGTAAGGATTTAAAAGAAGTTGAGTAATGTAATCAGTGGTTTCATTTGTGGTTTTCTTGTTAGTAGAAAAAGACTTCTGACATTAAATTATTGAGGGAGGTGGATTTAAATAAATTCATTGTTAAAATTTAATTGTACAAGTACTGTATAAAAGGATCCACTCTATTCTATTGTAATGTAGCAAATTGAAGGGGAAAACTAACTTCTGAAGATTAAAGAATATGGATGAAAATTATTGCCAAATTGAGATTTATCAGTAATTTATAGTCCTTGCTTTGCACTCTTGGAAATATAGACTAAGATTTGTATCTTGGTGTGGTTTGCATGCTCATTTTGCTCTCCTTTTGTTTTTCTACAGTGATGTGTATGGCTGGTATTGGACTCGTTGTATTATTTTTCAGTTGGATGCTCTCTATTTTCAGATCTAAATATCATGGCTATCCATATAGGTATGAGCCTTATTTTTCATTTATATGGTGTTTTAGAATATTTTCTTGTACTGTATTCTTTTATGTTTTGCCTCCAAGTTATTCTAACTTCTGGAGCAGAGAGATAGACCTGAATTTAGATAAGTTATATATGAAAATTAAGATAATTATAGTATAATTAACACTAGTACGTGATTTCTTAGGAACATCTCTGGGTATTATTCTACCAGCATGTAATTTGTCTAAAAACCTGTAACATAATGATTAGAACATTTTTTACCATATATATTTCTCGATATGTTTTAATTCTGAATAATATAAGTTAATCTTTTTTCCCCCTTTTCTTGGAAACATTTAATTTTGAAACAGAAATCTCCCAGAACTGAGTATTACACATAAAAATCTTCTAACATTATACTTTTATTCTTCTGTGTACATGTGTTTTAAAATTTGACCCCTGTAGTGCTGTAGGATAAGCACTCGACCTCAGGTCCATTTGAACCACAAAGTCGGTCCTTCAGACTCACCAGTCTCTTCCTGGAAACCCTATACAGGGTCACTATGAGTTGGAATCGACTCTATGGCACTTAACAATAACAACAACATGCTGCAGGGGTGGTTGTTGTTAAGTACCATCCAATTGGTTCTGACCCATAGCAACCCTGCACAGGGTTTCCGAGGAGCTTGAACCGCTGATCTTGAGTTTCAAACCGACCCTTAGCGACCCTGTACAGGGTTTCCGAGGAGCTGTTGGTGAGATTGAACCACCGACCTTGCAGTTCAAACAACTTTGCAGTCTCGAGCATTAACCCACAGTGTCACACCAGGGGTGGTGGTGGTTGTTAAGCGCCGTCGAGTTGATTCCTACCCATAGTGACCCTGTATAGGGATTCCAAGGAACAGCTGGTGAGCTTGAATTGCCGACCTTGCAGTTCAAACAACTTTGCAGTTTGATGCATTAGCCCATAGCGCCACACCAGGACTCCACACCACGGGTAGGTAACATTTTTCTGCTAAAATTGATAACATAATTCGCAGGTCATACAAAATTATTAGCTTAAAAAATTAGCCTGCTGTATTTGGTCAAACATTTAATTAACTCGCCCCTAATGTGATGGCTAAGTGCTCTGGTAGGGTAGTGGTTACAAATCGGGCTGCAAACTTTAAGGTCGGCAGTTCGAAACTATCCCGCCGGAGAAAGATGAGGCTTTCTGCTCCTGTAAAGATTTACAGACTTGGAAACCCTGTGTAGGGTCACTATGAGTCAGAACCGACTCCATGGTACTTAACAACAACAACAATGTGATGGCTGGAGTGGTGGTGTGGCACTGTGAGTTAATGTGCTGGAGCGCAAAGTCATTTGAACCGCAAGGTCGGTGATTCAAGCTCACCAGTTGCTCCTCAGAAACCCTATGCAGGGTCACTCTGGGTAGGAACCATCCCAACTGCACTTAAACAACAACAATGTGATGACTGGAACTGCGGTTGCCTTGGCAGGACAAGACCAAATGATTTTATGGGCCTTATACAGTGTACTTAAAACTCCCCATCCCTGCTCTATAGAGTCTGAACCAACTCATGGCACTTAACACAATAGAGTACTAACTAGAGCATAAAGATCATCTTGTCAGTACCACTTTCACTCACTTGGTCAACAGGATATATCCAGTTGTTAATTGGTGTCTCTATTCAAGAAGATTTTAACTTAAGGTTATATCTATTTACATTTCTCAGTGTTTCTTAAATCATGTTGATACTCAGATATTATCATACAATGCACTTCTTGTTGCTAAAACCAAGATACTACATAGTTATTACTAATAAAGTCTACAGTTATTTCACAGACTAATAAATTGATATATATTTTTGTTTCAGCTTTCTAATGAGTTAAAAAGGATCCCAGAGATATGTAGATACAACGGGAATTCGAAAATGAAAAATGTGTGTATATTTAAAAGGAAGAACTTGTGTCTTTTATATTATTTTTCCCCCTAAGTGATTTAAATAGCTTATCATTTAACCAAAGAAGATGTATAGTGCCTTAACAAGCAGTTTCCTTTCAAAATCATGAAGTATTTGGGATAAAACTCTCTCTTCTTAACCTTCCCCTCCTAGTGAACTTTATGGACCATTTAATTTAGTAGACTTAAATATAAAAATTTTAAAACTAGTCTGTTTTAATTAGAAGATGGCTCAAAACTGCTTTACTTAACATTTGGTCATTTGATTTTATATTTTCTTATCTGAAATTGATGGAAAAGTGCTAACCAGATATTATTCCATATGTCTGTTGAAGATAACTGCATCAGGAATCCCTTATTAGCTTTTCCATCTTTGCCTGGATGTGTATACTTTGCACATCTTTTCTTTTAGGCAAAAAAGCTACATGTGATATGTAGTCTTCTGGAAATGGAGCACTATTCTTCAGAGTATACTTTTATCCTGTAGAAAGAAAAAAAGTCTAGCCAGTCCTCCTCCTCTTTCCTACTGAAATACAGGGCTATTTGTGCTTCTTGGTAACTGTAGACATTAAAAAGTATCTGTAAATACAGGATGATCATTCCTCATGAGTGTGGTGTTAACTACCTTATATTTGGAAATTTACAGATTTATCCCACCTCCCATTTGTTATTTAAGGTGGCCAATCTCTAAGGAAAAAATGAAGCTTAGTGCTAAAAATCAGTATAACTTATATATGGTCTAAAATGCTTCTGTAGATTATCATTGATCATTTGTACCTAAGGGAAATATATATTTACATAAAAATAGACTTACATATACATGAATCTGTATTACAAATTACAACATACTTTATTAACCTTTGTGTTTAGGAAGAAGACCTAAATTGATAAAAGATAATTGTGGAATGTTGTGTATAGAAATTAAATGTTTCATGAAAGCAGTTCGGTTTTTGTTATTACTTTAGTTCTTATTCTCTCCCTTTAAATATAAAACCAATGAAAAATTTTGAAGCAGTTTTGTTTGAATTCTGTCTTGTTTTCTGTCAGTGGAATTGATCATATGCACTAGTCAAATTTCTGTGAAAAATATGTTACTGGTTATTATTAGTTCTAACGATAACCTCCTTCATAGTTATGAAAAATAACCTTAAATTCCACTGTTACAGAAATATGAAAATTGTAATTGTGAAAAAAAAAATTAAGGAAATTATAGAAGTGTCACATTTTAAAATGCTCACTGCCTCTGATTATTTACCGTCTAATAACCTTCCCACATGTGTCATAAAAGTCTGATCTAATAGAGATTTCCAAAGATATAGGTAAAATTGCCTATTTTAATTTTTTTTGTTGTTATTAGTAGATTTGGTGGGTGAAGGGATATAGTTAATCTTTTACTCTGATGTAGCCACTTTTTTTTAAGTGCTCTCCTGTAAAGAATGTAATTCTGGATTCCTTTTTATGCTTATCTTATACTTGTCTCAGGCCAAATAAATTTATGCTGTGATTCCTATGGTTGAGACTTATATAAAATGCCCTGATTTGTAAACACTGAGTAGAGAATTTCTACTGCCATTAATCTCTATAGCTACAGATAATTTGCCATGAACATTGAAAGAATTAAAGTATTATATAATATATATATTTGTCTCCCTTATCTTTAAGAACAATGAGCCTTGGTGACATAGTGGTTAATACTTGTCTGCTAACTAAAAGGTCTGTGACTTGAACCCACCAGTGGCTCCATGGGAAAAAAGACCTGGCAGTCTGCTCCCATAAAGATTGCAGCCTGAGAAACTCTACAGTAGGACAATTCTACTCTGTCCTGTAGTATTACTGAGTCAAAATTGACTTGATGATACACAACAGCATCTTTAAGAGCACATTCTTCTATAAGAGAAAAGTAGCAATCTGGCTAAAATCTATAAGAACCAGATTTGCTATACTTTTAAAAAGTGGAGATTTTAAAATTAGCTTTTATCTGAAGTGCCTTAAGTAGTCTTAATGTACTCTCCTAGTAAGGGTTTAAATATCACTTGTGCATTTAAAAAATACTATTCAAAAGGACAAATTGTAGTGGCAAAGATAACTAACCACATGTCTGGCTGTTTGCTTTTTGACCATTTCAATAAAATTTTACATTCTGAATTCTGCGTTTTTGATTACTGTTTAAAGGGGGTACTTTTCTTTCTTTCTTTTTTATTGTTTTAAGAATATATGTAACAGGAGGCGGGGCTTGATGGAGGATTATGGAAAAGTGCCATGCAGAACTCTGCCAGTAATAACACAGAATACCGGACGAAGCAGGTCCAACTCCGAACTACATATAAAAGAATATTTAGAAGAATCAATGTCTTACTGCTAGTGAGATTTGTAGCAGAAGCAAGAAAGGTGTTGTTTTCTGATCTGTGGCTGCTGGCAGGTGCCAGAGTGGCCATCTTGGGCATGATGTAGTGGGGGCAGGATCAGAGGAATGTTTCCACCACAGAGATCTGACTGATAGAGATAAAGATGTGAACATTTTTTTTCTGTTCATTTGTCTCTCGCTGTCTGTGTACCTCTACTCTAGTGATTACAGAGAGTGCCTGAGCGAGTAGACATCCCCGGACCCCTGGAGTGTTATACTATGAGCACAAATCTGCTCAGCAAAGACCACTAGACCCATAATTGAGGAAGGGGAAGAAGCCAACAGGAACTGCTTAAAATTGAACAATCTCCCAGAACAGCTCAATCCAGTCTAGAGGGGGCATTAAAGTCATACTCATATTTTGCTATGGGGTTTGTTTGTTTTGAAATTATAGACTGGTATCCAATCTGGTTTTGTTTTTTGTTTTGCTGTTGATTTGTTTTTTATTTTTGGTCCCCCTTTTACTTGGGGAGGAGCTCTTTCTCTTCCTATGTTACCCAAGAAGAGACTCCAATTGCGGTCATATAGCAAAGCTACAATCATACCCTACAAAATTCCACCATCCAGGCAAGAGCCAGTATCATTTGATATACATAAGATAGATAGCCTACACTTGATACAGTTACTCTGAGTTGAGTAATAAGAAAAGTGAAAAGGGAATCACATCTACCTGGAGAAAATCAGAAAGCTTAATAAGACATCAACATATATTCATTTAATTATTGAAATTGCCAAAGAAATGACTGAAGATATCAGCACATTTCCAGAAACAAGACAGAGTGAAGCTGAAACAAATGACCTGAAGGTACACTTAGACTTCTGTTGGAAGGAGGGCAGGCTTTGGAACTGCCTGAGAAGGAATTTAGGAGAATAATACTGAGGTGCATCCAAATGCTCCATAGAGAGATTGAAAAAATAAGTCAGGAAAATGCTACAGGAACAATAAGATAGAAATAGCATTGGAAACTATTCAAAACTTGTAAAAAGTCCAAATGATTAATAGTAAAATATCAGAAATGGATAATACACTGAAAGGGCAGAGGAATAGAATTGAAGAGATGGAAGCCAGAACTAGTGGTCTGGAAGACAAATCTCTCAGTGCTGTTAAGATAGAAAAGTAAGCAGAAAAAAGGATTTTTTAAAAATCTGAAGAAAGTCTATGATTCATGAGTGACAACATGAAGAGGAATAACCTGAGGATAATTGGAATTCTAGGACAGGAAGAATCACAAGAAGAGCTTCTGGAAGAAAGTTTTCCTAACATCCTGGAAAATGAAAAGATAAGCATTTAGGAAGCTCAACGAACTCCAGGAAGGACAGACACCAAAAGAGAATCACCAAGACATAATCAAGAATACTGAAAGCAGGGAAAAGAGAAGTGTTACTTACAAAGATAAGCAACTAAGATTAAGCTCTGATCTTTCAGCAGAAACCATGCAGGCAAGAAGTCAATGAGAGACATATATAAAACCCTGAAAGAAAAAAATCTGCCAACCAAAAATCATCTACCTAGCAAAGCTGTCAATCAAATACGATGGTGTAATAAAAATGTTCCAGGATAAACAGAAGCTAAAGGGACTTTGTCAAATCCAACCCACTGCTTCAAAACATCCTATAGGTAGTTCTTTGGACTGAGACTAACAATAACAGACCACAACCAGAGATTGACATACAGGTATTGACCACCCAGAACTCAATCAGCAGATGGAAGAGTCCAGAACAGAACAAAACGAATAGAACGAGTTCAGAGGATCTGGGAGGTCAGTCTATGATCAAAACAATTACAATGTGAAAGAAGGTAAAAATATAGGAACTTGCCAGGGAGCCATCAAGGCAAGCAATCACGTCCCTTTAGGATAAACCCCCTTCCAAGACAAACACAAAGGGAACACACGAGCAGGCATGTAAGCTCACTGGCAACCACATTGGTCTACTGGTGAGTGGTAGTGGAGATAAAGCAGCAATGAAGTTATGGGCTGAATTCATCCATGTTCCATAGATCCCCATCGACCTAGAGATGAGAGAGTGAAGAGGAAGGGCTGGTTGGTCCAAAGTATGTTGAGACCTGGGAACTCCTGACCTCATGGACAAGGACATAGCCATGGAGAGCTAGAACTGAGAGTGAAGTTTCCAGCTGATACAAAATGAAGGGAGACGTGGAGACACACAAGAATGCCCAAACTTGCAGATAGTACTATTTGACTTAGCTTCGATGGTTTAATGATCATAACTGGACTTCTTGTTGTTGAGTTGATTCTGACCCATAGCGACCCTGTATAGGGTTTCCTAGGAGCAGCTGGTGAGGTTGAACTGCCAACCTTGCAGTTCAAACGGCTTTGCATTCTGGCACATTAACCCACAATGCCACACCAAGACTCCAGAACTCAACTAGAGGAAGATAAAAATTTTGATAACGGAAACAAGTGTAAATTGCTACAATCTGTGCCCATTTTTTAATTGGGTTGTCTTTTTCTTGAGGTGTTGTAGTTTCCTATATATTTTAGAACTGAGTCTCTTGTCTGATGTGTCGTTGCAAAAGATTTTTTTCCCATTCTGTGGGTTCCCTTTTTAATCTGGTGAAGTCTTTTGATGCACATAAGTTTTTAATTTTTAGTATGTCCCAATGATCTGTTTTGTCTACTTTTGTTTGTGTAGTTTTCAAAATGTTTAGTAGTCTGTGTTTGCCCTGATTTAGAGCCCTCACATTTGTCCCTATTTTTTCATTAATGACCATAATTCTGGGATTCACATTTAGGTCTCTAGTCCATGCTAAATTGGTTTTTGTATAAGGCGTGAGGTAAAGGTCTTGTTTCAGTCTTTTG